TGGTATCAATTTTAAGAAAGCATATAAAATTGTTATTAGTTACTTGGCAGATATGGGTATTTTGTATAGGATTTAGTAGGTTATGCAGTTCTAAGAACCTTTTTTTTTTATTCCTTCGGCTCTATTGTTGTACAACACTCCAGCCCAGTGGGTGGCGGTAATGCACCTTAAGTTGGCTTGCAAACCGCCAATAAATATCATAGGAAGATGAAGAATGTGTTGCAGGTGATTGCTCAGTTCTCTCGGTTGGCGGGAATTTGTACCAGAGGTCAGAAACAACTTTTAGGGTGGTTTTGGCATAATCTAGGCTGTGACTGGATCGGAATGGCGAGTAGCAGTGGAGGACTGTCTGAGGATGATGATATGGATGTTGAGTGGTCAAGAATAGGGAATGGTCGGAAGGGAAAGAAGGATAAAGTTAAATTGTTGCCATTTTCAGGCAAGAGAACGCTAGATGACGATGAGGAAACGTGATGTACGAAAAAAAGAATGATGGAGGAATTCAAGATTATTCTGAAATTTAAACCAGTGAAAGTGAAATTGTATCCATGAGTCCGTTTTGCCTTAACGAAGGGTTAAGGGTTGAAGAAAGCACTTTGAGATATTGAAATAGCAAAAGTGTTGCGAGATGGGAATCTTTTAGTGAAGTGTAAAACTACTGAGCAACAAAACAAAATTTGGTGTGGAGACTTCAATGCACACAGCACAGTCTGGGGAGAGTATGATGATTTTAATTGTGAAACTGTAGAAGAATTAATGGATGAAAAAAAGTTGGTGTGCTTAAATGATGGTTTAGGTACAAGGGTGAATTTGATGAGGGGTACTAAGTCAGCCATTCACCCTTACACTGGTGTCGCAATCAATAGCTGGTAGGAGTAGTTGGGAAGTCATCAAGGATAGTACAGTAGGAAGTGATCATTACCCATTCTTTATTAATATAGGTATAGAACATGAATTCTGACAGGACAAGGGAGGGTGGAATTTTGAGAAAGCAGACTGGAGTAAGCTCAGAATAGTATGTGACAGAGTTGGAAAATGTTATAAATCAATCAATTGCTGATTTGACTTCAAGCAATTGTAGAGGTATACTCTCAGCAGCAAATGGATCGATCCCAATGTGGAAAAGTTGTACACAGAGGAAAATAGTGCCATGGTGGAGACAAGAATGCACTACGGTGATACGAGATTGAAATAAAGCCTTTAAGGTTTTGAAAAGAAAACTCAGTTATCAGAATTTAGTAAGCTATAAAAGAAAACAGGCAATCGTTAGGTATGTTATAAAGAAAACTAAAAGAGAATACTGGAAGAACTATTGTGATATTTTAGGTAGAATCACACCTATTAGAACAAGTATGGGGTATGATTAAAAGAATGTCAGGCAACAGGAAAAGTTGAAAATCTGGTAATGAAAGATGGTGAGAGTATGGAGATAGATGATGGGAGCAAGGCAGAGTTGCTGTTAAAGTACATAGTACAGAGAGAAGAAATAGAAGGGAGGGACAGAACAAGAGCAGGAATTATAGATAGATTGCAAGATGATAGGGATGATCACAGTACTATGAATATGTTGTTTTCACTTACAGAACTGAAAAATGTTTTACAGAAATCTGGTAAGACCACTCCAGGAAAAAACCAAATTAGTTATTACATGCTGAAAAACCTTACTGATAAGAGTAAGGAGGTATTGTTGAATTTGTACAATTAAGTATGGAACAAGGGAGTTTTGCCTAGGCAATGGAAGGAATCCATAATTGTACCTAGTTGTAAGCCGGGGAAAGGCCCTAGTTTGGCAGAGAACTATAA